GCATCGACCTTGAAAAGCGGCGCTACTGTTGGTGTCCCGAGCTCCGCCACATGGTTGGTCACAATCCTCGCGTTATTGCAGTATTCAAGTGATTGTATCAAAAGTGAATACGCCATACTCCTGAGCATCTCATAAGATAAATTCGAATACGAACGAATTACATAGCTCACTAAATATGGCAAACTATGCACGAGGAGAATAAAATGAAATAATTATGTTCTATACAAAAAGAAGTTGAATCAAATTGATCCTTTTTCATTATTATCCTGATTACGATATTTTTAACCGAAATTTTGAAATTTAATATTATTCTTCAAGCCTGTTTAAGTTTATTTAAGGGGGTGGTGAGCAAAGGAATCGTTCAGTCTCCGTTTCGCACGTGACCCTTACACTTAAGCCAGAGAACGATAAAAGTTGAAATTAAAGAAATCGTGCACAAAACCTCGTTGTATTCCTTCCCTACTTGAATGCGTCAAGTCAGCTAACTAGTAACGGCCAGCAGTGTTCTATGCATGAAAGTCCAGTTTCCAGGAATGAAACTTCAATTCACTCTCTGAGGACAAGTGACAGACAAATGGGAGGAGCCAAGGGGCTAATGGAACGAAGTGCATGGTGGGCGGTCACGTATAAGGTGCCGGTGGTAACAAAGAATTGAACACAAAAACTCCTCATGAACTCAAAATTCCGAATTCATACAGTGAATACAAAATGTTTTAGAGAGAAAGGTTGGAATGCAATTGATAAAAGAAGCCTTCTTGCCATAAGTGAGGCCATATTGTTTCCAACAAACAAAGGAAGTACACTCACCGCCAAATTTGTGCAAGGTTCTACGGCGGAAAAATGGGTCTCATGCACGGGCTCCATGGCGGAAAGGCGGTTTAAGTGAACGATTCCTCTGAAGAATCAAACTGATATTCAATTTTGGAACGCATGATTTTATGATATCACCATTATCCGCAGATACGGTATCCCTCATTATGCACGTTCATGACAATGACTGTGTGACAGGCACCGATTCATTTCATAGATACATATACACAACATTCGTTTCAATACACCTTTCAGTACTCAAACAACACACAGATTGTCTGAAAACTCGTTGGAGAGAATCGTAAGACTTATTTTCTATGGAAAAAAGACAGGATACAACAATAAGACGACAACAATAAATGTAAAGCATACAATATTATCACGAATTCCGAGAGATCATATACCATGTGGAGAGTCCAACTCGAACGTCAATATTGGTCGTTTGGGACGATCACTCAACAGGTCTGAAACATGCAAGTTATACTCAATGCGCTCCTATGCTACACCACGAGCTACTCTTTGTATCCGATATTCAAGTGTGTCTGCACTGCAGACTTCACAACACAAGTGACGACAACTTCCAAACAAGTCTGGGGCCGGGTGCAGCAAGCCTCGGGCGGAGGGTGGGTCCCCAGAACCCTGCGTCTATACTCCGGTCGACACGCAGATTCCTCGGGATCAAGAATCAGAGGGTGTCCAGAGATGTAGAGCTTTGGGACCCATCTCCTGACCGGGGCTGGCTGCACCCGGTCCCTCCTTTTAGTAGTTTACGGCGATCGCTGCGAGTTAACAAATGATAGTTGTAATGAGTGACAACTAATAAAAGGAACTGCAATCGGCTTCATTTCGTCGGCAGAAACCTATTACATCTTATGGAGGTCGTCGTCACTATGCGCATAGCCACCGACTACAAAGGGTATATAAAACACTGCTTCCAATGGTCCTCTATTCCATGATTTTTGCGGAATAAAAGTTATCTAGACGGAGGAAATGAAGTGCGCTCCTATTTTATTACGAAGGACAAAAGATCAATCAGTCGTGTCCCCGTTACGTTGTTGTGATGCGTAGTAGAAAATAATTGCAGGAATTCAATGTGTTTTATTTATTTTGTTTGTAAAATTCATCTTTGCCGAAAAGCCCAGCCAATCCAAGTGAAGCATGCTCTGTTTTTGCCTGCTGACTTATGAATTGACTGACTGACTGATGAATTAAAGAATTTAAAGCCACGAGTCAGGATTAGGTGACCATAGAAGGCCTTTCCATCACTAATATTTCCAGGAATGCGCTCAGAGGGGTGATGCCACACTCCTGACTCGAGATTGCGCGCCGTCAAGGCCTCTGGCCTACTACTTACAGCGATGGGTTCGTTACATCAGCTGGTCCCGCCCACCGCGGGATGTGGTGCGTGGCTGGCCTAACGTGTGAGATCAGCTAGGTTGATTGCCGTATCAACCGATGGAACGGCTGGCATATCCGGAAAACTCGTTTGGACGTGGCTCTCCCCCGAGCAAGCCTCCTTCACTGCTAGAAGGGAAGGGGTTTCGATTTCGGTCTTGTCGACGGTTTCTTTGCGTTTTTTCTTCACTGTCGTTCCACCTCCCATCTCTACACTCAATTTCAGGCGCCATAATGCCCAAACACGAGCCTGACTTTTGCCTTTAAGAATTAAATAGAAGCATCGCCCTGCTTTTGCCTGCTACGCCTTAAAGGTTATCCTCCTGTCCGCTGATGTTTTGAATTTCAAGCGCGCTGTTGCGGTTCGCGACGACGGCTGTGGGCGCACCGCGGCCCAGACTCTGTCGCGCCACTGGTCTCGATCGGCAGGCGACCGCGTATTTCGCAGTAGCCGAAGGGTGAAACTCCAGTTCGGGGGGGGCCACTCCATTGCTATCTTATCCGTAGTACTAGAGAGCAGTTCTTTGGGCTATCGAACACTACGGATAAGATAATAAGTGAACGACTCATTTCGAGCGTACTTTTGATAAGGACCGGTGGATGTCCTACATTCCACACTACCTGCCCACATCCCATCCACTTTTCTGCACAGGTGATCCACCCTGGAGCTCCTGCACCCTTAGCCCTTTGCGGAGGTGTCCTTTCTCCTGGTCCAGGACCGTTCCCTTGGGTCATGGCAGGCGGAAATGTGAAAACGTTTCAGGGTTTCTCACCCATTACACCAATATTTATCAGAAGTCTACTTTAAATGAGTCGATTACGTGTCGTGAGCCCTCTAATCCTTATCTTGAGTATTGGAGAAAAAATGGAGTGGCCCCCCCGAACTGGAGTTTCACCCCCGACAGCAAGGCTCGCTCAGAAAGCCCTGGATGGAGGCGAGGACGAAAGCAGAGGCTACTTGAGCTCGCCTCTGCCAGTCGGCGCACTTCGCTCTCCTCCGGGAGAGGTGATGTGCCGGGCAACGCGAGGAAGGCGAAAGACTTGGGTGCCTTCGAGCACCCGGCAGCATGGTCGGACATGCTGTCTCCGTTTTCGGAGCGCTGGTCAAGTTAGTGTCTCGCTACACACGAGGAAATCTACCAGCTGCAAGCCCCTGTCGCTAGCCGCTTACCGCCGAACTCAACAATTGGACGACGACTGGAACGACTGAACAAGGTTGGCCTGGGCCTCTCCACGCTCGGCAGGAAGTCGGATTGTAGGACGTCAATCAAGTTAACACCAATAAACTGTGAGTACAGTAAAGGCTGGCTTCAGAGAGGGCCCGATTAAGGCGCAATCGCTATTCATGTGCTGTTATTGTTGTGGGGTCATGGCCGGGATAAGGAGCCTTCGGCTTTAGCCAGGAAAGCGCGAGTAGATGGCTGGTCTTGCCCCACGCAGTTGCCGCTTGCCGCAACCCGTTAAGCCCCGTTCCTGAGTTAGGAATCCATGAAGCCCCGGGTGCGGAGGGCACGTATGTGGGAAACTGTACGGTCCCCAAGGAAGACCCGTACAGCGAGGTTGCTTCCCCATAAGCAGAAGCAGGCCCTCCTTCACACTCTGCCCCCTCCCCGTCTTCAGAATATGACGTCATCTGCCGTCACCGTCGAGCTCAACGAGGCTTACCGTAATCGCTCCGGCCTGAAGCTGCTACATAATTTCTTCAATCGATTAACGTGAATAGCTTCCCAGAGACATTAGCTGTGACTATGCAAGACCGCTTTTGACCAGCGTTCCAGATAACGTCGTAATGGTCCATGGATTCGTCAGACCTCGTTAAATCAACAACT